GCGAGCGGTGTGTTTTGGATAATTGTCGTGTTATATTACAAATGATTCTTCAAGTCCCAATCTAGCCGCACTTTCGAGCCAAAAATATTGTATTTTTTTTCGTCACAAACTTCAATCTTTTTTGTCTGTTAGTGTTGTTTATGAATGGTTTTTTGCGGACATTACGACCATGGTAGCCAGCATCATACAGTATTCGACGAATAGTTTGGGGATTGCAGGTTTTACCAATCTCGTTTTCAATCTCTGTACTCACTTTTGGTGCACTCTTCTTTGGGTTCACATGTATCATCAAATATTTTTGGCCGCCCAGATCTTTCGTTAGTTTGTGTATTTCCCCCTTTTTTATATTTTTCTATTATTTTTTGAATAGTAGAACTACTTTTATTTGTTATTTTTCCAATTTGCCTCTGACTTTTTTTTCTTTATGTAGTTTTATTATAACATCTTTAAATCTTGTGATAGTTCTCTTCCGCGCGGCGCCCTGATCAAAATTTAAATTAATTTACGCTTGAAATATTATTAAAACTTGGAAATCTTTATATCTTAAACAAAAAATAACTATTTAGTGATTTTGAAGGGGACGAATACTGTGTGCCAGCCGAAAACATAGTGAAATGGTGAATTGCATACATATTTATGTGAAATGATTTTTGGTTTTTACTGAGAAAATCCAACGGTTCTTAATAACGGGAAATGTGAATGACATCGATCTATCATACTCAAGAAGGCGATGTTATGTGTAATTGTTATTGTAAAAAACACGACAAGTTTTATTTTTATTTAGCAATTGATATGACTTTTTTTACGCACATACATAGTGCATACTTATTTTGTGATACACTGTACATGCTATGGTAAGACAAAATTAAAGCAAAATATGACAAGGCAAAAAACTGTGGGGGGTTTATTGAAGGCGATTGGGTATTGTTATATAACCCGAAACGAAAGCTTTGTCTCCCAAACAGTCTAATTGCGTCATACCAGGTTATTAAACGACTCAACGATGTAGCGTATCGTGTACAGAATATTGGAAAGCCAAGGAATAAAATGAAGGTGGTTCATCTGCAACGGCTTGAAGCGTTTGGTACCGCAAATATGTCTAATCGGGACGATCGTAGTTGCCAGAATGTTCTAGTAGCGAACTTTTGTTAAAGGTTTTCTATATAAGGTCTGCCGGATTGTGCAGCAGTTCTAGTTAGAGTGTTGTCGTGTTAAGAGCACTTAAGCTTTGAGCAATAAGTTGTAAACTCGAATATCGATTTAATCAAAACCGTTATATGGGGAGTGAACGGGGTTGTCACCCAATTTCACCCATTTTTACACTGTCGATAGTGGTGCTATGAATATTTCTCCTGGGTAAATTTGGTTATTATAGCTTTAGTGTTTTAAGATATATGCACATTAAAATCATTAGATGGCGAGATCTCGCCCACTTCAAACAAAAAATTTAAACTGCAGATGCCCCTCTTTAATGGGTTTCGTTATACAAAATAACCGTATTGTATCTTATTGTGGAGCTTAGTTATGGCATTTAGTTGGATTTTGATTAATGGCGTTTTGTGGGCGTGGCAATGGTCCAATTAGGCTCATCTGCAATACCAACCGTCTTACGGCGCCAAAAACATATGTACCAAGTTTCTTCAAGATATCTCAATTTTTCTCAAGGATTTCAACTCGTCTCTTCAACCTGATAGTTTATATATATACATATAACCCTATATCTAACTCGATTGCTCCAATCGCTCTGTAACAACATGTTGCAACAGTATAAAAATGTATTCATTTGCGTTCTGATTTATTTCTAGTTAAGCAAGAATGATAGGACACAAGATTACGCAAATGATTTACAATTAGTTTCGGTAAGTCGGCTTAGGCTGTGACAATTCTTACAAAAACTAATTACATAATGCCGCCATGTTGTGACGTAATTCTTACGAGTTATGATGAAAAAACATAGAAAAGCATGTAAATAGTAAACAAAGATGTAAACACTTTTGTTATTTCATGAAATTAACTTAATTTGTTTGAAGTTGTATTTATTTAAATTTATTAGTATAAAGAATATTGATTTTTTAAAATGAAATGCAGTGGCAAGTTACAATTAATACAAAATAGTATATGCAAATATACTAATGAAAACAAGATTTTTCAGTTTTCCTTCGGATATAAAAGTCGCCAAAAATTTATAACTTTTTGTAGGAGAAATGAAAAATTTAATCGTAAATCTTTTTTAAATTTGCAGGGATAATTTTGTGAATGACGATGTTATAAACTAAATACTACTAATAAATTGTATTTAACTTTTTGTAATATTTGTATTAGGATTTGTAAAAAGACTTTAGGTGAAGTGCGGGGCTGGAAAAGCGCTTTCAACAAAAAATAAGGACCTTGAGCTGAAGGAACAAAAAATGAGGGATACTACTTTTTTGAATATAATGCAGAAATAAAGGTAAATCAGTAATTATTACAAATATTTATGTATTTAATTTAAACTCATTTGAAGAATAATTATTTTTTGGTACTGAAGGAGACGAAAAATTTACTATAAGCATCCAGCTCTGTTGATGAACAGAATAAAGAGAATGTGCCCGTCCCCAAAGATAATGAAGAAGCCTCAACATCTAAATATCCACGATACATCTATTTATTATTTTGAGGAGAATTAACAAAATTACGCAGCCAAATGTAAGTAACTCTTTCCCTGGCAATTTATTAAGACAACTAATGTAATTTATATTACATATTCACAGCAAAACATTAAATAAGGAGCATAGTCGTCAAAAGTAAGTAAATCTTTATCATACCAAAAAATCGACATCAGCAGAGATTTAGTCAAACAAGTTTTTAAAATATTTTCTGCTTTTACGCTCATGGACAATATTCAAAAATTATGTATATTGAGTTTTGATGAGATTAAGCTGCTACGATAAACCGTCGGACTCAACTGGATACACTGTAGTTGGGATAGTCTGTGATTTAGATTAGACAGATAACTTTTTGCGGAGCTGAACATTAAAAAAAAACCTAGACACATATTTTGTTTTGTTGATATGTTACAACGTTAATTACATTTTTTTATTCATTTACTTTTTGTGTGAAATAATCGTTTTTGGAGATCCTCATTTAATAAAACTTCTTCGAAAACATTTTTTTGATAAAGGGTTTTTATTAAATGGGAAGCCTGTTAAAAAGGATATTATTTTGGAGCTTATGTTATGCACTTCGGCAGATTTACCCATTACTCATAAAATCTCTGCCAATTACTTAAATGTCACCGGGACTAAAAGGCAAATAGTAAAAAGGGCCACAAAACTCTTTTCTCATACTGTGGCACAGGCTATAACGCAGAGATAAAGAGATGCCCAACTCGTCTCTCACTGGAAATGAGTGCGCAATTGATAAACGTCAAAACCTACTGAACTCAAACAGTTGGTCTGACGTTTAGCAATTGGAAAAAGAGGGACGGCCAGATTAAAATCCTACAGAAAAAAATTGTAAACAGAGAGATCACTAACAAAAATTGGAAAACAATGAAAATGAAAAAAAAACGCGGAATTGAAATGGATGTGATGATATCTTTTGTGATGTCATGCTAAGTGGTATTGATTTTCAATTGAAAATTTTTAAAAAAATTTATTAATTGAGAGCTAATACATTTATTCTTTTGATTTTATATAATAATATTTAATCTTAATAAATGATGGATATTTTAATTTAAATTCCAAAAATTATTATTTTGTCCGATCTGGCTCCAATGGAAAATGTTATAAAAAACGCTAATTTTGCGGCGCTTTCACACTGGAAAGAGTTGGGCATCCCATTATCCCTGCTATAACGAGAGCAGCAAGCTATGGTACCTGCATGGAAAGAATTGGGAAGAATGCCTTGTATGTGTATAGATATGTGTATATTTGTGTACAATACCATAAACTTCTTCTTCTTTGCAACCATCCACTTAATTGGCAAATATTGTCACGCAACATGATTCTATTAATTTCACTTGTTTTTTTTTTTTAAGTGTTTACCTTTTTGTTTACAATTTACCGGCTATTTGACAGTTTTTCACGCTTGTTCTTCTCAACTCGCAAGAATTGCGGCTGGTGTAATCTTGAATTCTATCATTCTTGTAGTTGAGAACTTTAATCAAAGTGATAGCCTACTGTTATGCTACTTGCATTAAATACACATATCTTTATATTAAATTTGCAATGGAGACTGCACATTGCTAATGTTTAGGAATAGATGTCTAAATATCTATATGGAAATCCATTGCTAAAAATTAACTGTAATTTCGGTGGTTTGACAGCTCTATTTTCCTTTCTACAGTAACACTGTTCGTTCTAGTTAAAGTGTTGTCGTGTTAAGAGAAATTGAGACATAAGCAAGAAGTTGAAAGCTCGAATAATGAGCAATAAGTGTTAAGTTGTTGGCAATGAATTACCATGAATATAGTAGAACCATATGCATAATACCTACCCGCTTAATAGTTTCAAAGAAATACTTAAGACGGGAATTCCCTAATCCACCAGAATGTTTTGAATATCCGCTACTAATATTTTCAAGGCCAAATTTATAACAGAAATTTCCTAATCTTTAATTGTTAAAAATTCATAATTTCTTTACTCCATAATCTATATCTTAATTTTCTCCTTATTTACAATTTCTCAAAATATTTCTATTATTCTATGCATACATATTTGCATATTACATACAAAAAATAGATAACAGAATTCAAATTTGTGAACGAATTTATTTGAAACCGAGCGCTCTTGCAACCATTCAAAGAATTTGAAAGTGAAAAGGAATGCTGAAAAGGGTAGCAGCGAGATGTTACGAACAAGAACACAAAACGTGGCACCTGAACACGAGTGGCACGGTCCCTTCGTCTTTCCTCGTCGTCCCTTCTCCTTCAAAAATCGGTTTGGGTTACAAAAGAATCTGTGTGTTAATGTAGAGATAGTAAACTTGCAGGGGTGGGATCATTTCATAAAATTATTGATTACGATAGTAAATGTAACTTCATCAGTCTCTATGTATATCGATACAGTGTTAGCTCCAATTGCCCGCAATTTCAGAGAAAGTTTAAATTTTGATATGACGATGGATAATTTTAAAAGTACTGACATTACTTATACACAGCTTGTATTTTCGGATATAGAATTTATTTCCAACAATATATCTAAAGAATACGTCTTCGGTATAATTGCCAAAGCAATTGAATGCGGCGATATTACTGCTGGTGATGTATTAAATCTGTGGGTGAAAAAGTTGCAAACGGTTTATAGTTATGAAAATTTTTGTCGGACTGATTGGGGATTTTTAACGCTTTGCTGCCAAGTTTACTTCGAAAAAATGGTTTGTTTTAAATCATACTTAGGTATAGTAGTATATTTGGATAATAATTTTTCGATTACTGTTTATTACAAGGCTCTTAATGGGACATGTGTTAATGATAGAACTTATAACCAACTTACTTGTTGGCTGAATGAATCTTCGGAATTTCTCAAATCTATTCATATTAGTGATCACAAATTTAATGTAACTGGAATTTGTCTATTTTTTGACCTTATTTTGGATTCAACCCAAAAATCATGCCGATTTTTTGAAATAAAGTAAGTATCTTAAACATTTTAAATTAAATTAGAAATGATTAAAGTTAAAAAAAAATTATTTTAGTTCCAAAGAATCTAATTTGACATCTCAAATAGAATGGATAAATTTCCTGCATAACGTATCACATAAGCTATTATGGGATTGTCTTGAAATTCATGGACAAATAAGTGACGAGGAATATTGCGGTATTTTCCATTGTAAGCAGACAAAACAATGAATGCAACCTATGTTTTATATTTCATTTTGTAGATATTAAAGGATTATGTTTAGGTGTGTCGAATGATAAATTTATAAAAATTAAAACCAAGGTGGAAGCTTGGAAATTTGTTGCGAAATTTACTTTGAAATATGGTGCTTTCGCAAAAAGTTATAAGCATCTTGAAGAAAAATCGCCTATTCGTATTTTATTACGACATGCGGAAAGGAGTTTAGTGATGATTTATGAAAAGGTAAGCGGTATTAGACTTAAATTTTTTTTGACAATTATTCGTACCGGTTTTGGATTTTAAATTTGCGAAAGACTTACCTTTGTATGTAAAAATAATTAATTTCCCTTAATCAGAATACTGTCAACGTTTCCTAATCACTGTACGATTATCATATCGGGTAATGATGATGATATATACTGAAAGATAAAACGTTACCTTCCCAGCTTTTTTCTCTTCCTCTACCAGCGAGTAAACATTCTTCGTCAACCACCCCATCTTTAAGCCAAAACCATCTCAGCAGACACTTGCCTAAAGCAGAGCAGCCTTTCAGGAATATCAAGAGGATTTTCCTACAGACAGTAGTTATCCTCTCGCAACTGAAGCGGGGTAACGTAGTATTTTCGTGGTATCCAAACTAGCTAAAACAAGTAAGGAAGATCTAAGTTCGGGTGTAACCGAAAATTTTATTCTCTCTACATCTTACAATTCCCACAACAGCCGGTTCTACGTTACCGAATTGACCCGGATTTTATCCGGCCAAGGGCTGTTATTTCGGCGATCTAACCCTGTTTGGATCGGTAAGTGTTAGTTTAAGTTTGTCGTCATTACATTCCCGGGCCCCGAGGAATTCTTTTGCTTAATATGCGCTAAAAGGCTCCATCCAAACTTCACCTCGATTAGGTGCAACACATGCAATGTATGGAGTCAACTTAAGACCTGCTCAGGTCTTAAGACCCATAGGGAGTGGATCACGAGTTACGTGGCTCCATCCTACCAACGCAATACTGCGACACCTGTCTCAACGGCTGTGCAATCTGCACCATGTTCGCGCACTGCGTCGCCACTCCAGTCGAGTGACCAAGAAAGGACTTCTACGGCCCTAAGGAGCACAAGGCAGCATGACTCTCAGTCTGTTTGGTGCTAGTCGACTATAACGCGCACCACGATCTTTGGCATTCCTGCCTGTCAAACGATCTTAGGGGGATGAAGCTGGCGGAACAGATTGACGACTCGACATTCTGCATAATGAATGACGTAGCGCCAACCAGACTTATAGGCACCTGTAATAGCTAGCCTGATATTACCATCGCTAGCGGTGGTCTGATAAAAAGCATAACCTGGCGACCTATGCTAACTCTCGCATCAGACCATCTGCCCATAATTATCTCGATCGAGAAACCTCCTGACTTTATTTCTGTGGACAACCGCACCTTTATTAACTTTACCAAAGCTAACTGGGTCGGCTTCACAGAATTTACTGATAGCACCTTCAGCGCATTACCCATTCCTACGGACGTCATCGTTGGGGAGCGTCAATTCCGCAATTCGCTGCTGCTATTGCTCGCTTCATACCGGCTGAAAGAATATCGGAACTCCACCCTAATTTCCCAACCGAAGCAGCTGTATTAGCAAACGAGCGAGACAATCGCGAATTCAGCCGAAGTAGCTGTATTAGCAAATCAACATAAGCGGACAAAATGGATAGAGCACCTGAAGTCCTACAATCTCTCAACCGGTGTGAGTAAGCTTTGGACTACTGTCAAGCCGTTGTCTAATGCGAGGAGGCATGACGAACGGGTTGAACCAGTTTACACTGCACCCTTCGACCGACAAGGGCAAAATCCTTCGACTCGGCAGAATTCTGTCGCTACAACAACAACAACCGACAAGGCCAAACAATGTGTTACCCGACGGCTGCGCAAAATGCCCAACGACTGCGCACCACTTAATTTCACCGATGGGAAGGTTCAGAGTGTCATCAAAAAGACCAAATCGTCTAAATCCATTGGCCCTGACGGAATAAGCATGCTGCTGCTAAAACATCTAGGCTCGACGGGAGTAAGCTACCTCACCAAGGTCCTCAACTTGTCGATGTCCACTCTTCAAATACCCGATGTGCGGAAAGTCGAAGAGTGGTCCCACTACTGAAACTAGGGAAACCCGCTAAAAAAGGGGAGTCTTATCGCCCGATAACTCCTTTCCCCAGTAGTGAAGACACTTGAAGGCCTTGCTACTCCCGACATTCACTCACCACCTGAGTCTAGCAGACCATCAGCATGGCTTCCGAAAAGTACACAGCACCTCTACAGCACTTAGCGTCATAAACGTCCAGTTAGTTTATGGCCTTAACCGGAAGCCACCCTGCGAGAGCACGATCCTCGTAGCGTTGGACTTGTCAAAAGCTTTTGACACAGTCAATCACACAACGCTACTTGAGGACCTAGAACAATCAACGCTCCCTCTAGGGCTGAAGCGGTGGACTATGAACTACCTGAGCGGTCGGCATTTATCCGTACTGTTTCAAGGTCAAAACTCCAAACATAAAAGAATTAAACAAGGGGTTCCGCAGGGTGGAACTACCAGCGTGAATTTCCGTGACCTCGTACGCTGATGACTGCACGATATTGACGTCGGGCAATGGAATCGATGACATGTGCTCGAAAGTAAACAGCTACCTTCGACCTTTCTCGTCTCTTCTCTGCAAGGAGTCTGACACTCTCCCCCACTAAATCCACAGCGACCATTTTCACAAACTGGACAAAGGAGTACAGACTGGATCTGAGTATTTCAGTCGATGGCACAAAAATTCCGACAGTCAATAACCCTAAAATTTTAGGCGTTACAATAGACAGTCTCTGCTCCTTCACTTTATATGACCGCGATAACTGCCAAAGTACAGAGTCGCAACAAAATCCTCAAACGCTTGCCGGCAGCTTTTGGGGAAAAGATAAAGAAATGTTGTTGGTAACATACAAGGCAATCGGCCGGCCGGTCCTAAACTATGCACCACCTATATGGGCGCCAGGATGTAGTGCAACTGCTTTTGACTTACTGCAGTCCGGACTATCAAGGGATACAAATTGATGTCCCCAATAGAACACCTGCACAGTGAGGCCCTTATGCTTCCGGTTAAGGAACATAATGAGCTCCTCTCCAAGCAGTTTATGCTGGGGTGTTTCGCAGAAATAGGAACATCAAGAGGTCCTTCCTTGATTACGTCGACGACATCAGGCAGTACGCTGAACGGACTTCGACGTAACGAACTAAAGAAAAGTACTGACCGCCATTCACAGTGAGCCATCAACACCTTTATCGACTCCTCTCAGTGAAGTGTACAAGGAGTTAAACCACCACCCATCGCAGACGTATAGCTTGAGTTGCCTCGCGAAACCAGAGTGACCCTCGCGCAACTTTGTTTTGGATATTGTAGCAGGTTAAACTCCTTCTTATCCAGAATAGACCTCGACTTTCCAAATATTTGTCCTGCTGCAATAAATCTCCGCATGATACTAACCACCTCTTGCATGCCCAACAAACCCAACTCTTCTAACAACCTTTTCCCTATGATCCGCGGTCGAAACAGCTTGTTTCTTGGGCCTCCCGTTAATGACCTCGACGACAACCAAACTATTACTTATCATCCAAGCGGGGCTAGACACCGTTAGAACAACAACAACAACTAGTTTTTAGTATATATTAAATTAAAAGTAGTAGTTTGTATCCATTCTTTACAATCACATGCAAGAAGATACACTATTAGAAAGAGATTCTTTCGGAATTTAATTTCTTACAAATTTCCAATATTTGCTAAGCGAAGTATTGACCAGATTTTACCCATTATTGGCACAAGGACATGTGTTACCACAAAAATATTCTCCCGAATTTCAATACAAGAACTCCGACTAACCGATATGTTCGGTAAAAATCAGCCATATGCACTTTTCCTACCTATTTGGTGTCTGGGTCCCTGAAAAATTATAGTTCGATTTCTACGATTTTTTGTCGTTGAGGACACTATTGTGCAAATCTTACCCTAATAACTGTATTGTTATTTGATTGTATACTGTAAAGTAAAAGAACCAGATAGAACTTATAAGGTTCCATATAGTAGGCGTTGTCAATCGAATGATAGAAATGATTGGGTAATCTCACACCAAATTGAAAATGGTCCAGTAGTTCCTGAGATATAGGATATCACCTAAATGGTTACTACGCTCCATAAAGCTCTTCCAGCCACCCTGTTAGAGGCTCTTTTATCAGTAAGTTATCGCATTTTTAGTAATTTCAACATAACCTTTATTTGGGGTGTTGACGTAGTTATTATTTGTTATTTTTTATCACTGCGATCCCAAATTACAATTTTGTATCTTAATTTAGTGTTTAGTTATGACACTTTATATTTTTCGTTTAATAGGCGTTTTGAGGACGTGTATCAAGTTTCATCAAGTTATTTAAATTTTACTCAAGTTATCGCTTGTACGGTACGGATTTCAACTCGTCTCGTCACCCTGTTTTTATATATAGTAACTCCATATCTATCTCGATTATTTTAGGTGATAAAAACAACCATTAGGTGAACAAAACTATTATACTCTGTGCAACATGTTGCGAGAGTATAAAAAATAAGACTTAAATAAAACTTATAAAATCTCTTCAAAAGATTCTTTCAAAATTCATTAAAATATTATTAAATAAAATAGAAAATAAGAAATTTTCATATATTGTTTTCGAAATGCAAGGGTCACGTACCACCTTATTTATGGCGGGTATTAATCTTACCCTTTAATCATTTCTGTTTTTAGATATACTTTGCAATAACAACAACCGCACCAGAAAATTGATTTATTTAACGATAATAACGGAAGGAGTACAGACTGGATCTGAGTATTTCAGTCGATGCACAAAATTCCGAGTCAATAACCCTAAAATTTTAGGCTTACAATAGACAGTCTCTGCTCTTCACTCCTTATATGACCGCGATAACTGCCAAAGTACAGAGTCGCAACAAAATCCTCAAAACGCTTGCCGGCAGCTTTTGGGGAAAAGATAAAGAAATGTTGGTAACATACAAGGCAATCGGCCGGCCTCCTAAAACATGCACCACCTATATGGGCGCCAGATGTAGTGCAACTGCTTGACTTACTGCAGTCCGACTATCAAGGATACAATTGATGCCCCAATAAACACCTGCACAGTGAGCCCTTATGCTTCCGTTAAGGAACATAATAGCTCCTCCAAGCAGTTTATGCTGGGTGTTTTCCAGAAATAATCAAGAGGTCCTTCCTTGATTACGTCGAGCGACATCAGGCAGTACGCTAACGGACTTCGGACGTAACGAACTAAAGAAAGTACTGACCGCCATTCACAGTGGAGCCATCAACACCTTTATCGACTCCTCTCAGTGAATGGTGTACAATTATAGAGTATAGCTTGAGTTGCCTCGCGAAACCAGAGTGACCCTGCGCAACTTTGTTCTGGAATTGTAGCAGGTTAAACCCTCTTATCCGAATAGACCTCGACTTTCCAAATATGTCCTGCGTGCAATAAGTCTCCGCATGATACTAACCACTCTTTGCATGCCCAACAAACCCAACTCTTCTAACAAACTTTTCCCTATGATCGGCCTTCATAACAGCTTGTTTCGGGCCTCGTTAGATGACCTCACGACAACCAAACTATTACTATCATCCAAGCGTTTAGAACAACAACAACTATTAGTTATATATTTAAATTAAAAGTAGTAGGTATTGTATCCATTCTTTACAATCACATATAATACTATTGAAAGAGATTCTTTCGAATTTAATTTCTTACAAATTCCAATATTTGGGCTAAGCGAAGTATTGACCAGATTTTACCCATTATTGGCACAAGGACATGCTGTTACCACAAAATATCTATTTCAATACAAGAACTCTCTGACTAAACGATATGTTCGGTAAAAATCAGCCATATGCACTTTTCCTACCTATTTGGTGTCTGGGTCCCTGAAAAGTTATAGTTCGATTTCTACGATTTTTGTCGTTGAGGACACTATTTGTGCAAAATCTTACCCTATAAACTGTATTGTTATTTGATTTGTATATGTAAAGTAAAAGAACCAGATAGAACTTATAAGTTTTCCATATAGTAGCTTGTCAATCGAATGATAGAAATGATTGTATCTCACACCAAATTGAAAATGGTCCGTATTCTGAGATATAGATATCACCTAAAAGTGGTACTACGCTCCCATAAAGCTCTTTCCAGCCACCCTGTTAGAGGCTCTTTATTCAGTAATAGTTTATCGCATTTTATTTGGGGTTTGACGTAGTTATTATTTGGTTATTTTTTATCACTGCGATCCCAAATTACAATTTTGTATCTAATTTAGTGTTTAGTTATGACACTCTATATTTCGTTTAATGGCGTTTTGAGGACGTGTATCAAGTTTCATCAAGTTATTTAAATTTTTACTCAAGTTATCGCTTGTACGGTACGGATTTCAACTCGTCTCGTCACCCTGTTTTTATATATGTAACTCCATATTATCTTCGATTAGTTTTAGGTGATAAAACAACCATTAGGTGAACAAAACTATTATACTCTGTGAAACTGTTGCGTATAAAAAATAAGGGACTTAAATAAAACTATAAAATCTCTTCAAAAGATTCTTTCAAAATTCATTAAAAATATATAAATAAAATAGAAAATAAGAAATTTCATATATTGTTTTCGAAATGCAAGGTCGTCCCTCTTATTTATGGCGGGTATTAATCTTACCCTTTAATCATTTCTGTTTTTTTTAGATATACTTTGCAATAACAACAACCGCACCAGAAAATTGATTTATTTAACGGATAATAACGATCCGGTTTCACGATCAGCTTCGTATATACACTATTAAATTTTAACTAAATCATGTAATTTATATAGACACAATGGATACAAAAATTACTTTACTGTCAATAAAAATTATCCCCAGTGTGTCTGAATTATGATCAACGACTCGAGTGTTATTTTAGAGTGAATAACTTTCTTGACTTTTCTCTTTCATCATTTCATTTCAAGAAATATTATTTATCATGAACGTGAATGAGAGTAGAAATTTAATGGAAGAAATTTTGTTCAATTTACGTTTTTAAAATTTTATTACATTTTTCAAATTTTATTAAGTGATATATGATACTATTTATATAAAATACTTTACATTATTATTTAATGGGTTTTACAGGAACTTGGAGAGGATGATAAATATGTGGATCAGTACTTGCGAATTACTGCATTTTATTTAGAAATTTTATACCGAATTACGACCGTTTTTAAGCACTCGGAATTTCCTGAAGTAAAAAATTTTTTTGATGTTTTAGTCCTTTCCATGTCGTAAGTGCTTATATTTATTATATATATTAAGTGATATTAATCGATATTACATATGTACCCTTATATATATTATATTTCATAAACTGAAATCAACTTAATCAAAAGCACTTAAAGCACTTTATTAATGAAAAAACCAAATTTAGCCAAATTGTGGCTAGTTTGGCCCTAGTTCTCTTAGAGGACAAATGCCGCTTAAATTAGCCTTTCAACAAGATAAATTCGTAAAAGAGTTTTTTTAAAACAGTAATACTGACAAAAAATGTTGTCTGTTCATTGTCCGATACTAACCGCATGAAAATTTGTGGATTATGAGATATAAACCAATATTTAAAATAAAAATGCGTTTCAAACGCTATACTCCATAGAGTGCTAAGCTTGGTAAATCATTACGTCTGATGTGTTGTTATATGCTCGGTGTTACGTAGATTTACCAAAACAGAGTCATATCATATTAGGTCACGCTTGGTTTTTGTATCCGTTGTTTCACTGCTAAAATTAAAATTTAATTGCATTATGAAAAAGCATAGTTTTCATTCCAAAGTATTGCTGCTATTAAGTACATACTTTTAATGATTACAGTATATTTAGCAAAATAATTACATTTTCATAGAATTATTTCACCTTCGACTTTGGTGCTATCACTAGGTTATTAACTTAAAAAAAAAGTGTCAATTAATTCAATAAAATTTTTATCGAATATTCTAGGGCGCCTAGTTGTCTTCGAGGGAGCAACATTTTCACTTGCACTAAGAAATATGTCTTGACTGGTTTATCTAATATACTATTATTGGTATATAAAAATAATGAACTTCAAAAGGTAGGAAATATTTTTAACTATTAAATACTTAATGCTAAACATAAGATATTGTTGCACATCTATCGTTAAGTACTGTTGATCTAAGCCTTATAGCACAAACAGTCGCCGACATTCCTCCCTTCCGTACTTATCAAACCAAATTTGTTAAAAGTTATGTCCGTAGTTGCAACGCAGAAATCAGTTATTCTCTTTTGTTTTCATTTCACCAATGTTGCAATTGTTCTATTTTTATACACAATTTTTCACACTTTTAGTTTTTTAGTTATAATTTTTCATAATGTAAAAGCTCAACACTAAAATCCAACTATTAAAAATAGTTTACCTATTTATAAATAAATGTATTCGATTTTGAGTTATTTTAAGAATATTTCAAATATATTCAAGTTAATTTTTTAATTACTAAAAATATCAAGATTGACCACCCCAATCCAATTTTCGCGGATATCCTACCGTATGGTCTGTTGAAGCGGACGGTAAAAGCGGTGGTGACTGATCATTTACATTGCGCTCTCATAAGAACTGCAAAGGGTAATAAATTTTTGGTCGTATTCGAGCATTGATCCGTTATATTGCGTTTACATGGGACTCTTTGGTCTTCATTATAGGCAAATTCTCTTTTGGTGTCGCTCTGTGCATTCACACGAGCAGAAAGAGTCCAGCAACTCAAATCGAGTTTTCTGTTTTCCGTCATTTCTTTTCATAAAATTTTCGCAAATGTTTGTGCGGTTCGGCTACGTGACACTTAGAGTGTTGCATATTGCATTTGTATGTTGGGATGATGGTCTCACATTTTGCTTGCAATGAATTACCATGAATGTGGTAGAACAATATGCATAATACCTACCCGCTTCATAGCTTCAAAGAAATAATTAAGTCGGAAATTCCCTAATCCGCCAGAATGTATTGAATACCCGCTACTAATATTTTCAAGGCCGAATTTATAACAGTAATTTCCTAATCTTTAAGTGTTAAAAATTTATAATTTTTTTACTTCATACATTTTTCTATTTATGATAAAACATCCTTGAATTAATTAAAATTCTTGTTCTATATAACATGATATTCGAACTAAATTCTTTGCAGTTAAAACAAAACAAAAAACATAAGTATGAAGGCATCTGGATATTTTATGTAAATATAAAAAAGAAAAGTTACCATATTTATTAGAATTCTTTTATGTATTCTCGTATATTATTACATTTAATACCGGTATACGTTAATAAAAATTTAAATTGAATTTTGAGTATCTTGTTTTTCTCCTTATTTACAATTTTTCAAAATATTTTTATTATTCTATGCCAATAAAGTCTGCGTTCATCCGACCTTATTTTTTAAGTGAAGTAAAAACACAATGTTAATAGGTAATTGACTTCAAATTTTCTACATGTATTTCTTCTTTATATTGTTAAGTTCAAAATGCAAAAACAAAAATGTATATTCCTATTTTAATTTTTGTGATAACGGTATTTTAGTGTAAGGAGAAGTAAACATAGGCACCGTTAAGTCTGCGTTCAGCTTCAAAATTAGTTACAAAAGTATTAAACTATAAGAAAAAAATTAAATTCAATATTTTGTTGGATAGCCGCGTTGTTTTAAAACCTCGTTCAATCGATTTGGCATTGATCTTACCAACTTATCTGTTTCCTCAGCTGTAATCTGGACCATTCTTCTTTCATAACACTTCGCAAAGCCTCTTTACTTGTTATTGTATGCTGACGAATTCTTTTTTCAACAGATCCCATAGATGCTCAATAGGATTGAGGTCAGGTGATTGAGGGGGCGTTTTAAGTTGTCTAGAAGCATTGTACAAGAGCCAAAGTCTAACTGTTTCCACAGTATGCTTCGGGTCATTATTTTGTTGGAACCAAAACGTCGAAGGTAAGCCAAGATTCTCTGCACTTTGTTCCAAATTGTTTTTTAAAATGTTCAAATAACCCCATTTATCCATTGTGGATTCAATAAATTCAAGCTGACCCACACCACCAGCCGCCATGCAACCCCACACCATAATTCCGCCCCTCCGTGTTTAACTGTACCAACAAGATTTTGCTTTTCAAGGGCTGTTCCTGACTTGCGCCACACAATTTGTCGACCTTTTATACCAAAAATGCAAAATTTACTTTCATCCCAAAATATTACTTGTCTCCAGAATTCCGGCAACTTATTTATATAAATATGAGCAAATTCAATGCGCTTTCGCCTGTTTACAAGTGAAATATATGGTTTCTTTCGAGCGACTCTACCATGATATCAAGCTTTTCGTAAAATTTTTCTAGCAGTTTCGGTACAACTTGTTTTTTTAATGGTTAACTTTTACCATATTTATAATTTTCCGTTCTTTCCGAGCTGATAAAATTTTCGGACGGCCAGATCGCGGTTTTAACTTAAAATTCCGTTTTTTTTTTTTAAATTGTTTACGACACGCTGGACAGAAGAATACGTACTTCCAATAGTTTGCCTAATTTTCGTGAAACTTTCGCCATCTTTCCACAACTTAATGATAATTTTTCTTTCCGACAGACTAATTTCTTTTCCTCTGGTTTTTTTTTTTTGGAATATTATTAAAACGTCACGAGCTCTTTAAACGACTAATTATATTAAAACACAATACGCAAAAAAAACGAACAAATTCATGAGAAGTAACGGTATTTCCAATTCAAGCTAACTGAACGCAGACTTAATGGTGCCTATGTTTACTTGTTCTTACACTAAAATCCCGTTATCACAAAAACTAAAATAGGAATATACATTTTTGTTTTTGCAAGAAGAAACACATGCAGAAAATTTGAATAGAATTACCCATTTATATTGTGTTTTTACTTTACTTAAAAAAATGTGTTAGATTAGTTTCGAGGTATGCACCGCGACCTATGGTCTATTGTGCCCTCACAAAAAAAATGTGTTGGGTGAACGCAGACTTTATTGGCTATGTGTATATGCATATTACATACAAAAAATAGATAACAGAATTCAAATTTCTGAACGAATGGTATACATATATTCATTTGAAACCGAGCGCTCATGCAACCATTCAAAGAATTTGAAAAGGAATGCTGAAAAGGGTAGCAGCGAGCTGTTATGAACAAGAACACAAAGCGTGCCAACCGAGCACGAGTGGCACGGTCCCTTCGCCTTTCCTCGTCGTCCCCTGGCCCACAATAAACAAGTTACCAGGGCGACGAAAGAGTTCGTGTGTGAACTGGCACTAAGAGGTTCTATTAGCAAAAACAACCACAAATACATATTTGCCTCAGCGTTTTCGATATGACAAATAATTTTGAATCAGGATGACGAGACGAGTTGAAATCCGGGCGACTATCTGTCCATGCAAGCGATAACTTAAGTAAAAATTGAGATATCTTGATGAAACTTCGTACACATGCTCCTTGGCACCCACGGTGGTTAGTATTGCAGATGGGCGGAATCAGACTATTGCCATGCCCATAAAACGCCATTAATCTAACCAAACCTACAAAGTGTCATAACTTAGCTGGCACGACGAATTGCATTATGTATGTTGAAAAATAAAATGTAAGAGGAGGCGTGGCTCCGCCCAGTAATAAGTTTAATGTACGTATATCTTAAACCATTCAAGCTATAATAACTAAATTTGCTCAGGGCAAATCTTTATGACATCCTTACCGACCCGTGAAAATGGGTGAATTCGGATTGTAATCATGCCCACTCCTTATATAACAGTTTTGTTAAAAACTACTAATAGTGCGATAAATCTATAAATAAATGCGCCAGAGACATACAATTTTACACCCGAGATGGTACAAAAGGGCTAGGTGTTACACATTTAGGTGAAAACCCATATCTCCAGAATTACTTGACCAATTTCAATCAAATTTGGTACATAGGACTATTTTAACATTCTGGATAAAACTTTACAAAACAAAACAAATGGTGACTTTAAGGTATGTCATCTCGCGTCTAAAATTGTTAAAATTGGACCAAAACTGTTCCAGTCCCCACATACTGAATATGTGGAATATGTCTGTATGGCTGACTTTTTATCGAAAATATCGGTCAATCTGTGCGATTGTTATAGCAATTCGGAGAGAATCCTTTTCTCATAATACCATAGTGTGCCTCTACATGAAAAATTGCTGGTACAATCAATACTTTCCTTAGCCCCCATATACCTAGCAGAAAGATTTTCGAACTTCCAGCGACTTTATAGAGCATATATCGGCAAATATGTGAGTTTAGTAAAATATAAGTTAATTTGATCGTAATCCAGTCAAACTTCGTCTAACAATTAATGTTAAATTCCTTCACAACCTTTCTTAAAATAAAGTTTTGCCAACACCTGAAGATATTTCTTCGGCTTTGATCATTGCAAGTTGCAATTCCTTCCTTCCTTACTTGTTTTTTATTTAAAAAATTTAAGAAATTTAGAAAATTAAAAAAAAAATTATGTGGTATGTTTCAGACTAAAAATTTAATTGCAATAGGAGTAAAAAAGTACGATCTCGTGAAATTACTCAAAAAATTCACCTATTTCAAACTTGGTTAGATTATATATTTCAGTGAAATTTTAATAGTATATTATTATTCTAGTTTTTTAATCGGTTGCTTTTACTTCTCAGTCATGATTTAATTTGTTTATTTCGATGTAGTTGATATCAAATTATATTGGAGGAAGAGACTATTCCTACGAGTTCATTCTAACATACCTTCGTTGTTACATCTCCAATAAAAAAGATGATTACTTTGTAAGCAGTGCCGAACTGATTATCCAAATTTTGAAACGCTTATTTCAAAGTGAGTAAATATATTAAGTTAACATTTTTAAAATTATTTGTTACATGAAAGTGATATTATTGCATTAATAAATTTAGTTGTGTTAACATATTCTTTGTTTTTATAAATTTAAAGCGGTATTCTAGAAATAAAAAAAATCGATATTTTTTGTTTATAATTTCAAAATTTATCTTCCTGTCTATTAAAGGATTTCTCAAAATTTAAATTTTTTTTCGGACATATAGGCCTTTTGCAATCCCAGTATTCAAATTGGTTCAACTGGAGCTGAAACTTAAACGCATTTTTCTTGAAACCGTCTTTTTCAAAACGATACCCACGATTTCTCAGGTTCTACTGGACTGATTTACCTAAAATTTTTGTCTCGAACTAGCCGTATTCCCAAATAAAATTTTTTTTTTACTAATTTTGAAAATTCGAAAAAAACAAAAAAATGGTACAAAAATTTTTCAGACTTTTCTGTCGTTCCAGACATTTTGCTCTTACAAACGGTTGTTTTTATCGCCCAAAACTAACCCGCCGTTTGTATCGGGTGTTTTTTTTCGAGGTATAGAACTTTAAGTTGGCATTACTGTTCAAGATGGCGACCGATATACAGCTGTCAAGTGATTTATTCTCAGTTTGGTCATTGTATAAGCCAAAGTAGATTTATACAATGAGTTTGGTTTGGCAATTCATCATGAATAGACTCACGCCTGAACAACGCTTGCAAATAGTGCAATTTTATTTCGAAAATAATGGTTCTGTGCGGAATACGTATCGCACACTACGTTCATTTTTTTTGTTTAGCGATGAAGCGCACTTCTGCTTGAATGGCTACGTCAACAAACAAAACTGCCGCATTTGAAGTGAAGCTAATCCTCAAGTGTATGTCGAAAACCCGTTACATCCAGAAAAACTGACTGTTTGGTGCGCTTTATGGGTTGGTGGAATCATTGGTCCGCACTTCTTCAAAAACGATGATGGCCAAAACGTTACAGTCAATGGTGATCGGTATAGAGCTGAGCATGATTTCTAACTTTTTCATTCCTGAATTGAACAACCATGATGTCCAGGCCATAATAAATAAAGTTCATGTCAATCGAATAATCCGTTGTTTTATTGCAATTTAAAGTTCTATACCTCCCGTTACTAGCTTTAACTTGAGTAAGAATTGATATATCTTGATGAAAATTGGTACACATGTTTCTTGGCACCGTAAGAAGGTTGGTATTGTAGATGGACGTAATAGGACCACTGCTACGCCCACAAAACGCTATTAATCGAAAACCAATAAATTGCCATAACTAAGCTCCACAATATTTTTTTGATTAAATCTACTAAAAGTACGTTAACTCATTAAGTAAACAAGTCAAAGACTTTAAATGTTATACGTAGAATAGCATAATTGAGCTTAATCAGAGCCAATACCAAATTTGGATAATGGGCGTGGCACCGCCCATATCTCGCGATCCACTTGACCGATTTCAACCAAATCCTGACATGCATCCTATGTTACAGTGTGAAAATGGGAGAAATTGGGTTACAACCATGCCTACTTTCCATATAACACAAATTTATGTTCCATCTTATTTTTTGATTTTCCAGTATACAAGCACTAATGAATTTATTGAAATAAAACTTTGCAAAAGATTTTTTTTCAAGATATGCTCAAGGCTAAAAATTGTCAAAATCGGGCAATAACTGTTCAAGCTCCCATATACCGAAGATGTGGACCCAAGAGTCCATGGTTGACTTTTACCGAAATTATCGTTCAATGTATCAGATACATATTTAGAATTTGGAGAAAATCCCTTCCTGATAATATTATGTCAAAATGGATTGAATCGGGTTAATACTTCTCTTAGCCCCCATATACCTATACCTATCGGTCAATTTGTGAGTTATCTTAATAAAATTGAGCGGGCGTGGTTTTTTAATTAAGGTACATCTGTGAGCTCTAGCCCTCATATAACTAATATCAGGATTTGCAAATATCCGGTTGGCTTTACTCGTTATATATTGGTGATGGTATGTGATGTACCTTAATGAAAGACAGAAACCGTCTTATTCATCAAATAATATGTAATAATGCCAAAAATAGATAAAATCGGGTCAAAACTACCCTTATTTCCCATGGCTTTATAACGTATATATTGATCCATGAGTAAGATATCTTAGCAAAATATGAATATACACACAAAATATTATATGACAGTTACAAGAGTATAAAATGGTTACACCCGAACTTAACCGTTCTTTACTTCTTCTTTTTTGGTTTCAGATTGTTAGCAGGGTTGAAATAATTTTTGAATTGTTTACCTTTTTTATTTTTTGATTTTTTCCTGTATTCTTGTAATGTTAATAAATAACTAATAGAAAAATGGATGGTAAAAATATTTATTGCCTATTTTTTACGACACTATTACCTAATATTCATGCCTCTAGACTAGAATACCCCCTTAATAATAATAATTCTAGATATACTAATCGAACAAAATGTAGTTTGAATCTTAATTGCCAAGGTAAGTTATTTTGGTCGATGCCCTTACATTTTTGTAATGATATATTTCAAAATTTTCCTTTGGCATAATTTACAATTAAAATCGTATGAATAATTGTGTAATTAAAAATATTTAACATATCATAAAATTTCATTCAAATTTCAAAGGACTAGACATATTCGTGAATGCAGTTCGGTTTGATGAAATAATAGATGTGTATGCCACTTTGACTCTGTTGGATTCTTCCGGGACTTTGTTAGGCAACATGCAGCAATATGTTATAAAAGGAAACTCAGCGTTATCCTTTGCATGCACTAAGTTGCTGATATTAGTATCAAGGTGAATTTATTTTTTATTGTTATTAATTATTAACTTATAATATTACAGCTGTAAAGACGGTCGAGCTGATGAGCTCAAAGATGGACTTCAGTTCTGGGTGGAAACAAATAATCGTTTCGCTCAATTTTCCTCAAATTACCGGCGCCTTAATGTTGAACACCTTATAGAGCATTATATAATTTTATGCTCAGGATTAAATTTGGAAGAAAATATCGATCATCAACTTCATCATTCGATTAACTTACAAAATAATTACAACATACTTCGTTGCATAAACAATGGAAGCAATACATCGGATACAAACCTGTTGAACTCGAAAGCTATCAGCAAACTTAGCAGATTGATAGAAATTCTTGATCGCCATGCGATGAGTTTAAAGGACTATTATAAACTTGTAATTACTTTTTCATTTGTTTCGTAGAATTATTATTCGCACCTATGCATATATCAGAGTTAGTTTAGCGGGCTCACGGTTTAAAGTCTTTTGAGTTATTAATTTTCGTCACTGTATTAATTAATTTTTATAAATTAGTAGTATGTGTAAGAGTAGTATAACATTTTAACAATTCCTATATATTAGTGTAATTGTACAATACTAAATTATCTTACTCTACTTTCAAAAATTTGTGACCATAAGCAAATGAAAACAATGTTAAATGAATATTTTGGCAATATTCAGCAAATTAAAGCAAAGTTAAGCCATTCGGCATTTTTTCGTAACTTTAGGATAGAGAAGATTTAATTTTGATATTAAAATAAGACTACGGTGAAATTCTCTTAAACGCGTTATCAAAGAGTTGGGGCCCAGTAAGGATCTAAAGGAAAATCTAAAATATTGTTGGCTTAAAGCACACGTCAGGGTCATAAAAACATCAATTGGTAGAAAGAAAAATTGTTCCCCTATCCGATTCGCTGTAGTATCAAAGGGTTTTGGTCAGTCAGCTTTAGCACGTCATATTCTAAACGCACAAAGAAAAACTGTCAAATGGCCTGTAAATTGTGAACACTTTTTGTATGTTCTATGTTCTTATCCTTAAATTTATTAAGTCACTGCTTGTATTTTGTTTCTACATTTATCTATCATCCTGAACCGAAAGATGTAACTGTAAAAACTGGGTCTGCCATTTTGCGAAAAATTTATATATATCTAAAAACGTGCGTACTTTACTAGCAAGTTTTATGTAGACTAAGATCCGGCCTTTTTGTTTGTTTCATATAACACGATTGCGAAATACCGTCACCCGTCGAGGCTCTCTTGAAAAAGGTGCTTCCAAATATTGGCCAGTAGCCACCATTTTGTATCAAATTATCAATATAAAATTTTATTTACACACCCAATTACATGTATAATAAAACGTGACAGAGTGAAATTCGTTTCCCTTTCCTTACTAAAAGAATGAATTATCAAAGTTAGGCCTTTTTTGAGGTTTAGACAGGCCTAACCCCTTATTATGAATGCATTTGGATTAGCGATATTCGGTTAGTAATTTTTTTTTTAATTCTGGTATACCGATGAAGAGAGAAAGGGTTAAAACTTATTTACAACTTAATTTAACCGATATTTTATATTATGGTTCTAACTTCCCAACCCATGAATTTCGTTACATAGAACTAAACTCCGAATTTATGTACAACACAAAAATTTGGTACAGAGAATCACAACAGCAGGAGCTAAAGCATCCAAACATGCTGAGGCTAATCCTCAAACAGTGCGAAAATGGGTGAAATCGGATGATAACCACGCCATTATCCATATGACGGTTATGATGGAATCAAGATGATGCTAAAATTTTGGGCACTGGGCGTGGCGCCGCCATACGTTACGAAAATGAGCGAATTCCCCGTGATTCTTTCACTTTACGGTATATAAAACTTTGCACTTTGCACACAACTATTCCAGTTGAGATATATTATTGAAATTCAGAGGTAATCTTTTCCCGATAACAATGTGCCCTTGTGTCGAATTTTTTTTTATATTTTTAAACAAATAAACACTACTTTTAAAAGGCACTAAATTAAATAATACCGAATAGAAAGAAAAGCCTACTATACATTTCCGGGTTTTTTCGTACTCAGTCATTATACTCTCGCAACTTGTTGCTACAGAGTATAATAGTTTTTTTCACCTAACGGTTGTTTGTATCACCTAAAACTAATCGAGTTAGATATAGGCTTTTATATAAATGATCAGGATGAAGAGACGAGTTGATGTCCGGGTGACTGTCTGTCCGTCTGTGCAAGCTGTAACTTGAGTATAAATTGAGATATCTTTATGAAACTTGGTACACATGTTTCTTGGTACCGTAAGACGCTTATATTGCAGATGGGCGTAATTGGACCACTGCTGCGCCCACAAATAAGATACAAGGCTGTTATTTGATATACAGGATCACATTAGGGAGGGGCATCTGCAATTTTTTTTAGAAGTGGGCGTTGTCCCGCCCCCTAATAGGTTAAATGTGCATTATTATGTGCAGCAAGCGATTTTAGCACCTCTACCGAGTGTGAAAATGGGGGAAATAGGGTGACAACCCTCCCACTCCTCATTTAACGGTACTGTTAAAATCTACTAAAAGCGCGATAAATCAAGACACGCCAGAGATATTAAATTTTATACCTGGGATGGTATTAGATGACTTTATAAGAACCACGTTCAAAATTAGAGAATGGGCGTGGCACCGTATGCAAATCAAGCAACAATGATTATATCGGTGTAAAACTTTGCGTGAATAATAAAGTTTAAAGTATGCCACCTTGAGACCAAAAATTGTCTAAATCGAACTGTTCAAGCCCCTAGGTACTGAATATGTGGACCCCAGTGCCTATAGTTGACTTTTTACCGAAAATATCGGTCAACATAGAACAAGGCGGCAAGATCCACAAAGAAATCTAAAACGAGTATATCATTTGACTTTGCGAGAGTATAAAATGTTCGGTTACATCCGAACTTAGCCCTTCCTTACTTGTTAATATTTATAATTGTACAAGTTGATAGTAAATAATTTTGCACGAATCTAGCAATTTCATGACGAACGTACAAATCAGCACTCGAATTGAGTCTGACTACTGGATTATAGTTGTCGGTAACAACCGTGAGTTTACATTTTGAAAAATCACCGTTTAAAGTATTTGCTGGCATTTAAATTGTTAAGTTTAGGATACTTGATAGATTAACATATCAATAGATAATGTAAATTCATTAAAAATATTTTACAACAAAAAAGTATGAAAGTAGCAACCTTTTTTTTTAGATCAATTAGAAACACTCATAAGTAAATAAAAAATAAAGTATAAATATTTTTCTTAGAATTAGTCAATATACTAAAATTTTAAAATTCATATAGTATACATATACAGCAGCTCAAGATCAGTTGCATTATTTTAACATTTCTGTATACTATACTCCAGATAGTATGGATACACAATAGAACTGTTATTGCCCTAAAGCCAACAGCGCTATAGATGCATGGAAAACTAAAAATCTTGGGCCGAAAACAAAATATGTTTCTAATGAAATTATACGGAATATGACTGGATTCTATAAGAATTAATTAACAGATTTTAAATACATACTTCCTTATTAACAAAATATTCCTTTTTTCAAAATTTTCTCCTTTTGTTTTTTACGTTCAAATAAATATAACTTGTATCTTCCAAGTAATGGCAAACAATAATAATACGTATAAGAGGGTAGGATTAATAATAATATCAATGGGAAAATCTTAAATATAATAAAAAAAATCAATCGTTTATTTTAGGTTGCGCACATGTACAAGCTTGTGAAATATAAAGCGGAAGTCTCTGATTGCTTACAGCAGAAAATTGCGGAGCTACTTACAAAAGTTTGTAAGCCTTGCTTGATAAATGCGAAACCATCTTTCAAAAGGTTGATGAGTGCTGGATTATTACTTATGGCGAATAAACATATAAATGAAAAAACGCAGTTAAAAATTATTACGTTTATTAAAGATAATATTCACAATGGAATGAACTTTCCGATGCTGTCGTTTTGGTTAATTATCCACAGCTTCCGTAAGCAGAAAGCTTATTCGATTGTTCGAAACATTGCCGAAGCCATTTACAACGAAGTAGAAATACCTGATATAATTCAAGTTAGCACATTTGAAACAGCACTTGAAGCATCGGTTAATTCTGCAGGTGATTTCAAGTTTTACGCCAACATTGAAAATAACGGTGGAAGTGCGATGAGATTAAGGCCCGCGTATGTTCATCATAAACGCCCACGAAAAGATATAGCCTACGACGAAAGTGGAATCGAAGACACTATACAAAATATCAATCGATTGTTACAAAAAATTACCATGTTTTCTAAGAAACTAAGGGAAAATGAATTTGTAAAATTAAAAAAATTATGTAACGATATTGAAGAAATCACTGATCATCACAATTAATACCTAAACTATTAACTTATTTAAACCTATGATGTGTAAAATTAATAGTAGAAACTTTATTAGGACATAAAAATAGCAATTGTTATATTTTTCCGTTCTGGGGCATTAAGGAACTTATTGTACATGCGACTTTCCTGCTCCTCCTGGAGTAAAAGGCCTAGAAAAACAGTTGTTAACTAAAATATTTTGTGAAAAAATCTAAAAAACTCACCCGCAAAACTAGCAGATACAAAACACACTATGCTGCCAACCACAAATGCGCGCATGGCAACCGAAGTTATCACATATCTCCTATTTGGTGCCATAGCGCTGAGGGTTCCAATGAGTATGCCCAGGGCACTCGGATTTGCAAAGCCGCAAATTGCAAATGTTGTTATGCTTATGCTGCGAGCCTATAAAATTAAAATGAAGTCACAGGTGTTCTTATATGGTGTTTTTGTTTGTGAGCTGTAATTATTACTTCCAGTTCTCCACTTTTGATGTATTCGCCCAAACGCTCATAAGCCACAAATTCATTTATGATTGACTTAGTGGCGATAATTTGTGCTACAATATTACAGTCCTTATAGGGCACACCCATCGTCCACACCAGTGGTATAAAAAGTTTTGAAAATATCCATTCAAAATCTATGTCTTCCAACCCAACTAAAAAACATAGCCAGTTAACGACGCCATTTAGGAATGCTACAAACGCAACAAAAGCGACGATATTGGCAGTTATTCCTGCCACGATTGGTATGGCATTATTGGCTCCGTTCGACGCTGCGTCCAGTAGTGAAGAGTCTTCTCTGTATTGTTGTACATGAAATGAAATAGACATATCAGCCTTAATGGAATTATGAAATATAAATGAACATACATAAGAGTATAAGAATAATATATGTAAATTTGTAAGAACAAGCGAGATAATGGCAATAAGAAATAAAGATAAATCGGCTCATAATGTCAATAATAATTGATATGTGATATGAAAATCGTGTGTGGTTTAAAAATTTTTATAAAATGAGCGTTGTCCGCTGATAAGCTATATTAACGTACGATTTCTCCAGTTGAATATTCTTTGAAGAAGTTTGACTGTCCTCCGTTTCCGGCATGTAAAGTTTTGAAAAAGCCAAAGCCGCTGGAGCTGCCATAACGCTTGAAGTTATTAAATGAGCTGCCGAAGCCCCAAAGGATAAATATGCTGCCAATACCGTTCCAGAGACTGTTGCGAATCCAGAGGCCATAATTGAATGCAATTCACTGGATGTAAGTTTGTTAAGATATGGTCTAATAAGCATTGGACTCTCTGACATGCCGAGAAATATATTAGCGGCTGACGTAACACTTTCACAAACAGTTGTACCCAAAATTTGCTGCATCAGCCAACCGAGTTTCATAACTAACCATTGCATAACACCCCAATAGTGTAAAATTGAAATAAAGAAACTGAAGAAAAATATCACCGGCAAAATTGCAAAAGCGAAAATTCCTTCATCGATTACTGCATCTCCAAATACGAAACGACTACCTTCATCACTAAACGAAAGAAAAGTGGCTACTTTATCGCCAAGACATTCGAAGATTTTACGTCCAACATCCCATTGAATGCACAGGATACCCAAAATAAATTGGCATACTATCCCCGATATCACGGTTCGCCAATTGATTGCCTTGCGATTTGAAGAAAATACGTAACCTGCTAATATGAGTAAACATGGAGCCAACAGCGATCTCAATTTATTTCTATCATCCTTGGTTGCAAAATACAAAAACACTGCCAGCAAAATTACAAGAACTATGAGCATTATACCGGATACAAGTCTAAAGTGGAAGAAAATTAAATTAACATGTAAATTAATATGTATGTATGAAAACTTTTCAAATTGTACAATAGTATAACTTTGCTGCTATAATCACGGGTATTTCATGTATTATCACAAAGTACTTCAACATTACCCACAAAACACATTAACATATCATTAAAGTACTCCATGGAGGATCCAGGGTATATTACTTTCGTAAATAATCTCAAATCTTGACTTCTTAGAGTATTTACGGGAGATTACTTTCGAAACAAATTTTTTTTGTTGTATGTAAATCTATAGAACAAAAAAACAGAGGGCCATGAGTTGGTTCACGGGTACAGAACAGAGAGGAATTTTGTAAGTACTCCAATATAGTTTAAATTGATCGTCAATGCAGTTTTGCGAACTGCACTCACATTCTGTCACTTTTAAGAATAATAATCTTGTTTTGACTTTGCACTTATTACAGAAGTACAAGTATATTATTCAGCGGCTTATGGTATTCCAGGAAAATTATGAAAATGGATGATTTATAGGAAAAGTCTTCGAGGATTGTTAACAGGAATTCAAATTATTAATTCTCTAAGATCTTTTAAGAGCTGTTTGAGAATGAAGAGCGAACTGAAATAAAAAAGTACTAAAGTTAAGTAAAAATGCTTAATTTTGATATTCTTGAATCCTTTACAAAAGTAAAATAAAAGGAACAATACGTCTCATAACTGTATCAGGTTTGGTTAAATAGTTCCGTAGATCATTTAAATCTACTTTACTTTTTTTGAGCACTAAAAGCATACAAAATCTCTTTTAAAGAAGTACTAAACAAGTAAGTTTAAAAAGAACTAAATAAATAATATAATAATTGTGTTCATAAATTTTACAAAAAATTATAATATAATCATCTATTAATGATTTATATGACATACTTTTGTTTGTCAGTGTTATACATTAAAAACCTGTGCTAGTTATTAATATCATCATAAAACAAAGAAAACAGGAGAATTTTATATTGACCTACATATACACATGTCTATCCGCATTATTCGTTCGCAAAATTTTTATCCAGCTTTTGATCACTGCCCGACGAATAATAGGTATAGTAATAAGTAAATATTTACCTTGTTCGACTGAATTTCTTCCATCGCTTTCCAAATGGATAAATATAATTCCGATGTAAGTTCCTGCCTACCGTCGGTTTTATGATTTGGAAATATAAGAGGCCAAGGTAAACGAATGCCAATAGTAGTACTAATAATCCATAACCACTGCAGAACTGAATGCCACATAATTTATTTGGTTGAAGGGAATCGCACTCGTTGTTCTCTACGCAAAATTAAATCATAATAATATTAAATATTTAAATTTAACCAGAGGACCGGAAAATTATTATATTGAGGATATGAGGTTTAAACCATTCATATTCAGTGCTATACGATATTATGTCTAAGAAAACTTGTCAAATTAATTTAATTAAAATATCCTTAATTTTGACCAACATAAACGGTTTAATGTCAGGAGAAAAGTGGAAAATTAGTAGGATATATTGGGACTAGGAGGTCTGGACGATTGCATTATATTTTGGGTATCACTCTGGGGAATCTAAGGCCCCTATTACGGTTTTCAACCACACTGCATTTTTTCTAAAAAAAATTCGGTTGAAGTGTATGAATCTTAACAATATTTAAGGCTATTTTTCAATGGTATATCAAATTTATTTCGGTTTAGTAATAAACATACATGTGAGAGGTTGATTTTGCAAATCAATTTTTGAATGCAAGACTGATAAGGTTTTTGTTCAACTCAAATGTATTTGTACAAATACGTGGATTGTCTAATATTTATTTAGAAAAAACGAAAACTTTATATTATAGGCGATTTATTTCTCAAGATATTGTAACGGGTTTCTCGATAAATCGTCTACCCTGAAACTCAATCTTTGGTTCGATTACTAGATTGTTAAATAATAGTCTCATTTAAATGGCTATACACTTATCTTTATATCTAATACTAACAACGTAACGTTTTATTAATCATTATCGTCGATTCTATTTTGTTCTCGCATCCATGTTCGTCGCAATATAAAACATTAAAACGACGTAGAATTTTTTTAAATTTTACTAAAATCTACATGTAGTCAAACAAAACTATGAGTCTGCTTCATCTGAATTTTTTACAAATCATCTCAAAAAGTGTACTACACGATAGTAAATTTTTTTTTAGTGATAGTAGCATCAGAGAAGGGATAGAGATATACCCAACTCATCTGTCACTGGAAATGAGAGAGCAATTGCTAAACGTCAAAATCTCCGGAACTCAGTCAACTGTCGAAGCTCTGGAGGTTTAGCAATTGAAAAAAGAGGGACGGCTAGCAGAGAAACTATATCATTATTATTAAAATTATATAATGTCGAAACTGACTATAAATATTATTTTGAAGATTACATAATTTAATAGAGTCGCAAAATGATATTCATATCAATAAACATGATTGCATATAAACGTATAAAAATATAAGCCAAAAGGCTAACATGCAGCTGCAATATCAATGCAAATCTCTGAGTATAATTTTCATTGAATTCTCAGCTCTCTTTACGCGCCACTGTTAAATTTTTCCTTCCGAGCCAGATGTGGTAAAATCCACTAATAGAATCTAGTTAGGTTTTGACAATTCACACGCTGGTCCGCAATTGAACCTTCTCTATGATATACGTTCTCTGCGGCTAGATGGAAACCCTACCAAAAAAATATGTGAACAAAGAGATTTGTTGCCGCTGTTGAAGATCATTAACAAAAATTGGAAAACAATGAAAATTAAAGAAAACGCGAAATTAAAATGTATGAAATGTAATCTTTTGTGATGCCATTCCTCGTAGTATTAATTTTTAATTTATGGTAAAATGGTAGAAAAACATTTATTAATTGAGAGCTAATACATTTATTCAGTTTATTAAGTATTGAAAGTTCAAAAATCAGTTGTTTTAATATAACAAAAAAAGTTACAAAAAATTATTCAAATAGTTTCTCCAGATGCTTAACTAGTTTATGTATAATAATATAATAATAGTTTTGAGGCGCTCTTACGCTGGAATGAGTTGGACATCCCTTTATCTCTGGTAGCACTATCAGGCGAAGACGTTAAGTCATTGTGTCGCCACATGTTTTAGGAGAACTAATACTTATTAAGCAAAATTAAAAACTGGAATATCGTTGTTAATCAAATATTTGAATTAATGAACTTGTGAGTTGAAAGGAAAATAAGAAAAAATATTAACTTGCGCCAAAGCTATACCTTCATAACACAGAAGATGATCGATCAGTTTGTACGGCAGCTATATGCTATGCCGACAAATGAACATCTTTTTGGGGAAAAAGTATGTGTACAAAAGTTCAGATCGATATCTCATAAACTAAGAGATTGGTTCGCGTATCTACAGACAGACTGATATGACTAAATCATCATACTGATTATACTGATCATATATATATATATATATATAATAGGTGTATATTAAAGAAATCCATTTTTCCAATAGATGGCGTTCTTTATCTGTATCTCGCGTTGTATAATCCGATCGGGTTCGGCTAGATGGCGTTAGAAAGATGACATTTCGTACTAAAAACGCAAAGATGCACCATGCTCTGGAAAACCAGTTATCGAAAAAATGTATCAAATAATGGAAATCACCGAGTCCAAACATCGATTACGATTTTCCAAAAAAACGTTTAGAACCATTTGAATAAGGCTGGATACAAAAAGTAATAATTAAAGCATTCAATTTCATGCAAAAATAATGGATTTCTTTTAACTACACCTAATATATTTAATGTGCCCGTCTCTTTTCAAACGATAACTTCCGTTTAAGTTTTAATAACACAACGGGCAGCTAGTTACGAATTTAAAATGGGTGCCCTACAAAGCGGTTTTATTTAAACACTTAATGGGCATGCTTCGTTAGGTTATGCCTTTAAATATAACATGCTAAAATTTCAAATCGATATCTCAATAGTTGCGGCCATTTAAAGTGTAGCTGCTCAGTTCAATCCGGTCCACCAGTTTATTTTTAAACATTTTTCGAATTTGCCTATGATAGCTCGAAGACAAATCACCCGATCATTATGAATTTTTTTTTTGCCTGTTCATATAATTTTACATACAAGGTGCGTTCCAAAGTAAACAGGACTTTAAAAAAAAACAAGTAAGGAAGAGTTAAGTTCGGATGTAACCGAACATTTTATACTCTCGCAAAGTCAAATGGTATACTCGTTTGAGATTTCTTTGTGGATTGGCTGATATTTTCGGTAGAAGGTCAACTATAGGCACTGGGGTCCACATATTTAATACTTAGGGGCTTGAACAGTTTTGGTTCGATTTAGACAATTTTTGGTCACAAGGTGGCATACATTAAACGTATTATTCACGCAAAGTTTTACCCCGATATAATCATTGTTGCTTGATATGCATAGTGGAAAGTGAAAGAATCAGATGGAATTGAAAATGGTGTTATATGGGAAATAGGCGTGGTTGTTGTCCGATTTAGCCCATTTTCGCAATATAACATAGAAATATGAAAGAAACGTTATGCACCGAATTTGGTTGAAATCGGTTAAGCAGATCCCAAGATATGGGTTTTCACCTAAAAGTGGGCTGTGCCACGCCCACTGTCTAATTTTGAACGCGGTTCCTATAAAGTCATCTCATACCATCCCAGAGATAAAATTTAATGTCTCTGGCGTGTTTAGTGCTTGATTTATCGCGCTTTTAGTAGTTTTTAACAGTACCATTATATGGGGAGTGGGCGGAGTTGCCACCCGATATCAACTATTTTCACACTGTAGGTAGTGGTTCTAAAAACATTTGCTTCCAGTGAATTTTGTTATTATAGCATTAGCGGCTTAGGAGATATGCACATTAAATCTATTAGAGGCGGGACCAAGCCCACTTTTAAAAAGAATTTTTTAACTGCAGATGCCACTCCCTAATGTGATCCTGTGTGCCAAATAAAATTCTTGTATCTTATTGCGGAGCTTAGTTATGGCAATTTATTTGTTTTTGATTAATGGCGTTTTGTGGGCGCAGCAGCGGTCCGATTACGCCCATCTGCAATACCAACCGTCTCACGGTACCAAGAAATATGTCTACCAAGTTTCATAAAGATATCTCAATTTTTACGGACGGACGGACAGACAGTCACCGGATTTCAACTCGTCTCTTCATCCTGATCATTTATATA